TTTCCCGTACGATCTCCGAAGTTAAGCAATGTCGATCCTGGTCAGTACCTAGATGGGTGACCGTTTGGGAATACCAGTTTGGGTGTACGGGTGGTGCAGTCGGTAACGGAATGGAATTGTTAATCGGAGACTCGAGTTCGGTTCGTTATATTCAAATACCCGTCGTAAATGTATAAATCCACCCTTAAACCCCCATCTATGGTTTAATTAGTAAGACTTGTATCACTAAATCATTATTATCTCTCAAAAATGATGCTAACAACCTAAAAGTATTTTCTGGCTTTAAATAACCTGCAAAGGGTTGATAAGCCGTCAAAAAGAATCAGTCACTTTTTATAAGAACAAAGTAAAGATGTCGATCATGATGTCAGAGCAAATTGATATCGAAAGTGTTAAACGTTCATTTGGTTTGGGATGAGTAAAAAAAACTGTATACACGCGTGTATAAGTCGATATGAAGTTTTCTTTATAAAAATCATTATTGTACGTGATAGTGTCGTCGTGGAAATTTAATGATTTTAAAAAATATTTTTCCCTTCTACTCGTATCACATAATCCTTTCCTTAATCTCTTCTAATCTTCCTTGATCTTCCTTTTTTTTTTCTTTTTCTCCAGAAAAATGTTTTACGGGCATGTGCAACATGATCGTTATAAATACTAATAAGAACACTTGGCTCTTATGTCTACGCCATTGTGCGTCCGCTGTACATCTCGAGATACACGACCATAATTCAGAGTCTGTAATGTTATCGGTCCTGACCAGGCATCTCGGTTTCAGTCACTTTCTCACCAACGTGACGTGGCTCCTCACTGTCTTTTCTTCAAATATTTTCCTGGCAATTGTTCTAATCAGCTCTCCCCACTTGGTAACTCGACTGCATACTGCGGAGTAACAAATAACGGCTCGGATTGAGGAATCAGAAAGCCGAGTTCGAATTCCACTCGACTTACGTTCTAATACTCTTGGGAGAAGTATGAATCCTCTTCTCTCCTCAGCTATGGGTAAATAGCAGGACAGACTTGGTTCTATAGCCCTGGATGGCAACTGGTCTATCGTAGAAAGGAATGGCAATCTACTGCGGGGAAAAAATCTGCCTCGTCAGTCATGTATCGAAAGATATATGATCGCCTAAGCGTGTATCACCCATGGCATATAACTGACTAAAGATAGATTCTGGAGTGAAAAATTGTAAAATAGTATGACATTGTGGGTCAAGATTCTTAGCAGCTTACCTGGTAATCGATTCAATATAGTCTTCAAACTTCAGGTCAGAGAATGTTAGCCCGAAATGTTGCAAACCGTCACTTTTCTGGTGGCCATTCTGATTGAAGGTAGAATGGTGTTCCTCTGATGATTAATAGGGAGATGTTTCGTTTTGGAAGCGTAAAAATTAAAGTTATTTTTTCCTCCCCGGTGTATTTAAGAAGTGGAAGACACGGTGGAGTAATGGATAGCGGCTCGGATTGGGGAATCGGAGAGCCGAGTTCGAATTCCAGTCGAATCCATTGCATCCAACTACTTCTTCTTCCCCCAGGTATGGGTAAATAGCAGGAAATATCGGTTTCTATAGACTTGGATGGCAACTGGTCTACCGCAGAAAGAATGGCATCCAACTACGGGAAAAAATGTGCCGTGTCAGTCATGTATCGAAAGATACATGATCGCCTAAATGTGTATCACGCACGGCTCATAATTGACTGACTAGATTAGCAACTATGTTTAACTGTTGAAATAGCTAGATCTATTCTAATAGTTTCTTCTCTCGCACTTCTCACCTGTGGAAAGATCTTCGAGTTTGTCTGTCACCTACAATCTTAAAAAAATTAAATGCAACGTCAATCGCCATTTTCTAACTTCCTGACCCTATTGTTTTATTATCTTTTCTCCTCATTAAAGTTTCTCTTAATTTCACTCTCACTAACCCCCTTGCGTCTTAGTGGCATTATCGCCTTGCTTGGGGTGAAATGATTAAATAGAAAACATTCTTATTCATTCACAGAACAGCCGGTTGATAAAGTAGTTATGCTTTTTCTTTGGTCATCGGACCAGAATCAAAGTGTAGTATCTGTTCTCCTAATCTCTAATGGTCATATTAGCTGTTTCCAATCGGTAACCACTGACCGTGTTGCTCGTACTACTCAATTTATTTATTTTTTTTTTACTTTCTGTCCGCCTGGTTGGGATCAAAGTGTAGTAACTGTTCCTCAAATCTTTAATGGCAATATCCGTTTCCCTATAAGGAAACATCCTCATTCTTTGGCCGAAGAGCCGGTGATACACGAGTTTCTTTAAATCCTTGGCCATCGGGCCAGGATCAAAGTGGAGTGTAAATTCTTTTCCATGGGATAAGAAAAAAAAAACAACCAAAAAACTGTATACACTCGTGTATTAGTCGATATGAAGTTTTCTTTATAAAAAAAGCATTATTGTATGTGATAGTGTCGTGGAAATTTAATGTTTTTTTAAAAATCTTTTCCCTTCGTATAATCCTTTCTAATATTAGCCGTTTCCTTATAAGGAAAAATCTGGCTGTGAGTGCTACCGACGGTTGAAGTTTATAAAATCTTTCTATTGAAAACAAATATTCGGGAAAATAAGTTTCTCATGTCCAGTAGCTGTTATGGCTCTTCTCAGTACTGACGGTGGTTTTTTTTTTTTTTTTTACAGTAAGGTCCACCCTTTACAAGCCTTAGGTACCATAGCGGAAAGTTGGTCAGAACAAATATCATGAAAGGATTTATAAAAAAAAATCACGTTATGTTAGAAAAGTGACTGAAGCCGGGATGCCAGGTCAAGACCAATAATATTGCAGGTTCTTTGGATTTTATAATGTATCTCTAAATGTATAGCAAGAAGACCAGACCAGATATAGCAGCAATATTCAAAACATGGCCGAATATTAGACGTATAAATCTGTAAGATTTTGGAGAGAAAAATTGTCTAACACGACACAGTGAACCGATTTTCCTAGCAGCAGGCCTAGCAATTGATTCAATATAATCCTTCTACTTCATATGGCAACAACATTCAAAGCATGAAGTTCCACAAGTGAGAAGTGCGAGAGAAGAAACTGTTAGTATAGAACTTACGGTTGCATCTAGCAATTTCAACAGGTATTAACCGATTTAGTTAATACGCTGAAGGTTTCGACTAAAAATGAGAACCGAATATATTTATTTCTTATCTTCTTGTTGTAGATATTTACTAAGCCTAGTCTGGCTTAGGGCCAGAAAAATCTGTCAGAATATGAGGTTTGAACTTTCTTTATTAATGAGCTATGACACCAGAGTAAGCGTGCAATGTATTGCTCTACGGCAAGCTCTTTTCTTATTTTCGCGAATGTATTTTACGAACTCATGCTTGTAAAAAAAATCCTATCTTAATGTGAGTAAGTGTAAAAACATCAGTTTTCTTTATCGATTGTAGCTGCAGGCACCAGGGTCCTCCCTGATTCTACTTCTTTTAGTGCAACCAATAAAACCTGATGAAAGGCCTGGCTGCTGAATTTAGTTTATCATTGTACCGAATACAGTATTATGGAGAGAGAGAACAATAAAAGAACAGGAATTAAGAAGAAAAAAAAAGTTAAGGATTGACATTGCAGTTAACATATTTGAATATCTAAGTTAACTAGAGAAGCAAGAAGCCGGAAGAGAGTTCCACAAGCGAGCAGTGCGAGAGAAGAAACTGTTAGCATGGAACTTACGACTGCATCTAGCCATTTCAATTGTAAGATGATGAGACCTAACCGCTAATCTAGTACTGCACTTAAATTCATTATGTCTAGGGAGCATAGTGGAAAGTTCGTTAGAACAATTACCATGAAAGTATTTGTAGAAACGTCAGAGGGAAGCCACGTTACGGTGGTAGGAAAACGCCTGAAGCCGAGATGCCAGGTCAAGTACAATAACACTGCGGATTCCTCTTTAGATTTTATCAAGAATCTCTAAATATACAACAGGGAAACCAGGCCAGATGTGACAGCATTATTCAAAGAATGGTGGACTTATAAAGAGTGTGAGTTCAATGCCCGGTTAAGGCAGTGGAGAACTTGAAGAGGGGAATTAACATGAGATAACTGATAACTGACACCCATTTAAGATGGCACGTGGAACTAGAACAGTGAGCGAAATAAAGGGTTCAGTTCGACATTCCAACCACCTGAAGAAGACCGGAGCGTACAACGGCCGAAACGTTGTAATAAATATGGCGACAAAGATGAGGACAATAGTCCGAATAACGTAAATAATGTACATAATACCTCATCTCAGAAATATAGATATATATATAATTTAGTTTTATGGCCAAGGTTAGTTTCATGGTTAGGGTTAGTGTTGCAATTAAATTAATACTCAAAATCCTATATCACTCACTATACTCTCCAATCAACCACCATTTTCTGTTCAGTTACTCATTGCCCACCCAACAGTTGAAATCGCCCACACAACAGTTGAAATCATCCACTGGTGGCCGATATCGCCAGGTTGGAATTTCCTGCTTTACTATCTTGTCTAGAGGGTACTGTAGTTTCCCTTCTGTGTCTGCTATCATTGCTCGTATTTACAGAATTTGTTTCAATGCCACCACATCCTTTTTGGTTGCAAAAACATGTAGCAAACTTGGAATTTCAAGGCATGCAACCCTTAATAAATATCAACTTTAATATCACACCAGGCAAATCGCTAAAAGAAGCGTACCGTCATTAGACTGCGTTACTGTTAATCGGGGAACAAGGGACAACAAGCCTCTTTCGAATCTGGAATTTACTGTCGCATTCTATTTTTACGATGCCTTCTCTGGCATATCGTCACCAAAGAAAGGAGATATCAGAGATATGAAACGATTCGCCAGTAATTCCCTTGTCTATAACTTGACAAAATCAATTTAGGCATTTCCTTTTGTAGAGTAATTAGTAAACACGGCGTTCAGTTGGCTAGTGTAGTAAGGGCGATAAGGAAGAGCTCTTTCTGATTGTGGCCTTGTACGAAACTATACTACATTAGAAAAGAAAGAAAGAAAGAAGGTAAGAAAAGGAATAGAGGAATAAGGCCAGAGAAATGAAGAAGGAAAGAGGATGAACAGTGTACGAATAAACTGAAAGAAAGAAAGAAAGAAAGATGGATATTAGAAGAATAAGGCGAAGGTAAGAAAGGGAGGAAGAAGAGAAATAGTAGAGGAATATGGTGAAAGAAAGAAGATAGAAAGAAATAGAGAACGAACGATGAATAGTAGAAGAAGAAAGTGAAGGTAAGAAAGAACGGAAGAAAAGAAATAGTGCTTGAATGCGACGAAAGAGAGAAAGAAAGAAGAAAAGAAAAAAGAAAGAAGGAAGAAAGACAACGAGAATAAGGCGAAAGGGGCAAAGAAAGAAAGAAAGAAAGAAAGAAAGGCAGACAAAAAGACAAGGGGAATAGCATAGGAATAAGGTGTGAGAAAGGAAGAAAAAAGAAAGAAAGATGTATACCAGAATAAGGCGAAGCTGAGAAAGGAAGGAAGACGAGAAATAGTGGATCAATGGGGTGAAAGAAAGAAAGAAAGAAAGAAAGAAAGAAAGAAAGAAAGAAAGAAAGGCAGACAAAAAGACAAGGGGAATAGCATAGGAATAAGGTGTGAGAAAGGAAGAAAAAAGAAAGAAAGATGTATACCAGAATAAGGCGAAGCTGAGAAAGGAAGGAAGACGACAAATAGTGGATCAATGGGGTGAAAGAAAGAAAAAGAAAAGAAAGAAAAAAAAAAAAGAAAGAAAAGAAAGAAAAGGCAGACAAAAAGACAAGGGGAATAGCATAGGAATAAGGTGTGAGAAAGGAAGAAAAAAAAAGAAAGAAAGATGTATACCAGAATAAGGCGAAGCTGAGAAAGGAAGGAAGACGAGAAATAGTGGATCAATGGGGAAAGAAAGAAAGAAAGAAAGAAAAAAAGAAAGAAAAGAGAAAGAAAGAAAGAAAGAAAAAAAGAAGAAAAAAGAAATAAAGAAAAAGAGAAGAAAAATAGAAAGAAAGAAAGAAAGAAAGAGAGAAAGAAAGAAAGAAAGAGGGAAAGAAAGAAAGAGGGAAAGAAAGTTAAATAGAGTAAGACGAAGGGAAGAAAGAGAGGAAGAAGAGAAATATTAGAGGAATATGGTGAAATAAAGAGAAAGAGGGTTACAAGCCGAAGAATCAGCCAAAAGAAAAAGAAAGGAAAAAGAAATCGTATGAATAGCAGAGAAATAAAGAAAATGAGAGAAAGGAGGGGAAGAAGATGAAAGAATAAAGTAAAGAGGCGGGGGGAACAGCGGATTAATTTGAGAAAAAGAGACAGAAAGAACGATAATGAAAATCAGGGGAAAGAAAAAGAAAGAAGCAGAGTAAAAATGAAAGTGAATAAAAAACAGAGAAACAAATTAAACAAACAACAATAAAAGTCTGAAAAGTCAGAATGGCCGGGAGTGAAGAAGAGATTAAGGCCGGTAGTGAAGAGGAAAGAAAGGTAGCGAGTGAAGAGGAAAGAAAGGGTGGTAATGAACAGGAGAGAAAGGCTGGGCGTGAATGGAGAGAAAGGCCGGTAGTAAAGAGATGAGATAGGCCGGGAGTGAAGAGGAGAGAAAGGCCGGTAATGAAGAGGAGAGTAGGGCCGGTAGTGAAGAGGAAAGAAAGGTAGCGAATGAAGAAGAGAGAAAGGCCAGTAAGGCACATGAGAGAAAGGCTGGGAGTAAAGAGAAGAGAAAAGCCGGTAATGAAGAGGTTAAAAAGGCCGGTAGTAAAGAGGAGAGAAAGGCCGGGAGAGAAAGGACGGGAATGAAGAAAAAGGAAAGACCGGGAGTGAAGAGGAGAAAAAGGCAATGAGTGAAAAAGAAAAGAAAGGCCGGTAATGCATAGGAGAGGAAGGCTGAGAGTGAGGAGCAGAGAAAGGCTGATAGTAAAGAGGAGAGAAAGGCCGGGAGTGAAGAGGAGAGAAAGGCCGGTAATGAAGAGAAGTGTAAGGCCGGTAGTGAAGAGGAAAGAAAGGTAGCGAATGCAGAGGAGAGAAAGGCCGAGAGTGAAGAGGAGAGAAAGGCCGGTAATGAAGAGAAAGGAAAGACCGGGAGTGAAGAGAAGAGTAAGGCTGGTAGTGAAGAGGAAAAAAAAGGCATCGGGTGAAGAAAAAAGAAAGGCCTGTAAAGCACAGGAGAGAAAGGCCGGTAGTAAAAAAGAAAGGTCGGGAGTGAAGAGGAGAGTAAGGCCGCTAGTGGAGAGGAGAGAAAGGCAGCGAGTGAAGAGGAGAGTAAGACCGGTAGTGAAGAGGAGAGAAAGCGAACGTTATGACAAACATAGCGCAAAGTTGATTTTAGGTCATAAGATAATAGAATTGCTTATTATTTGTTGTCGTAAATCGAATTGCATATACTCAAAGTACTGCAAATATCAACGGCACGCTGTGTCAACAAACGCTATTGACGTCTCGATGCATGGAAATTCTCATACATTAATATTAAATACTGCTGAATTAATAACAGCGTTTATATGGGCTTGTCTTTTTAGCTGAGAGAGTTGAGTTTTTTTTACTGTTTTTTCCGTCGATATGTGTTCGTGCGGGGTTAAACGCCTGGATTTCGAATTTGGTTTTGGAAACATTGGCGCAGACACAATCTGCCTCTTTTCGCATCTCCTATCTCTCACAATACTGCGCTGTAGATTTTACCTCCTGGATAAAGTAGTCATCTATTTCTCGCCGGGGTCAGAGGTCGGCGTTCGATCACAGGTAAAACGGTATAATCTTGAATGCCGATTTTCAAGACGTGCATCCAGGCAAGCGGACTCCCCGTAACTGGAAGACACGCTTTTCGCACTTATATTTCATCAGGTGTGCCACGAAGCTGTTAGACATTTTCATGACGGTCGTCTTCGAGTATAGAATCCAGAGGTTGGCAGTGAATATTTCGGCGACAGTAGGAAAGAGTAGTGCAGGTTCGCAGTGGATATCGCAGCAAGGTAGCAGAGCGTAGTTCTTCCGTCTGTCCTGTTCGCCGGACAAGTTGCCTCTGGTCAGGTTGGTAGGAAACAAAGATGGCCGCCTTTATACACGACGGATACAGTTTAGTGCGGCTTCTGATTGGTCAACCTTCTATTGGTCGACTATAAAGGGAATTAAGTCACTAGTTATATATATAATATACACAAAAAACCGTAACAGAAGCAACGTTAAATAAATATCTCTGCTCGGTGGCTGGGGCAGTTGTGTTATCAATAGCGAATGTTTCATTATTATTATTATACGCAAAGAAGAAAAGAGACCCAATCTTCCGTTCCAATGAGCTGGTCGATAAACGAGCCGGTCGTTAAGTGAGGAGTAATGGTTGACTGAAGAATGATTACAGAATGTCCATTTCATTATTTTGCATATTATTCTTATCTGAATTCATAACGAGTGAGATATCCCGAAACTCAAGGGTTGACATCCGATAAGTATTGTGGACACATTTCTAATTCAATAATTATTGCTCTAGACAAGTATGGAACACTCTATTGGCAAGAATTCTGTTCAATTTAAACATACGTTAAATCACGTAATATTATTTATATCAGTCAATTAGGTGCCGTGCGTGATACACGTTTAGGCGTTCATGTATCTTGATACATGACAGACGAGACAGATTTTTCCCACTGTAGGTTGCCATTTCTTTTTGCAATAGACCAGTTTCCATCCATGGCTATAGAACTATACCCACAGCTAGGGGGAGAAGAAGTGGATTCATACCTTTCTCAAGGGTATTAGCACGTAAGTAAATGTAATGGAATCGACTGGAATTCGAACCCAGGTCTCTGGTTGCTCAATCCGAGCCGCTATCCATTGCTCCATTATGTATATCAACAGATATAATAATTATCATTATTTTATGTGAATAATAACGGCTGGCCACCCGCATCCGGACTGGAATGACGATCAGCGAATCCCTGTTGCAGGCGCTTGCTCTGGCGCATTTGTGTTTATTCAGCACCCACGTACGCCACCTTTGGTTTGTAGTGCAAAACGGACATTTCTGGGAGTAAACGCATGTTCTAGTTGGATCAACAGGATTGAGGCGTCACCATTTGGGAATACCAGGTACACGATCGCCGAAGTTAAGCAACGTCGAACCTGGTCAGTATTTTGAGGTGTGACAATTTGGGAATACCAGGTGCGCGATCACCGGAGTTAAGTAACGTCGAGCCTGGTAAGTATCTTGAGGTGTAACTTCTTGGGAATACCAGTTGCACGATCATCGAAGTTAAGCAACGTCGAACTTGGTCAGTATCTTGAGGTGTGATCATTTGGGAATACCAGGTGCACGATCATCGAAGTTAAGCAACGTCGAACCTTGTCAATATCTTGAGGTGTGATCATTTGGGAATACCAGGTGCACGATCATCGAAGTTAAGCAACGTCGAACCTTGTCAATATCTTGAGGTGTGATCATTTGGGAATACCAGGTGCACGATCACCGGAGTTAAGCAACGTCGTACCTCGTCAGTATCTTGAAGCGTGACCTTTTGGGAATACCTGTTGCACGATCACCGAAGTTAAGCAAGGTTGAGTCTGGTCAGTATCATGAAGCGTAACTTCTTGGGAACACCTGGTGCACGATCACCGAAGTTAAGCAACATCCCGCCTGGTCAGTACATAGATAAGTGACTGTTTGAGAATACCGGGCGCTGTAAGTTTGGATGTGCGGATGGAGTAATGCATAACGGCTCAGAATTGGAAATCGGAGAGAGCCGCATTTCAATTCCTGTTCGGTTCCTTATATTCACTTCTACGCAAATACACTTGGTAAAAGCATGAATCCTCCTCTTCCTACCCCACCAGCTATGGGTTAATTAGTAAGCCATTATTATTAAACCGTTATTATTTTTTTTTTAAATTCTAAAAATAAAAAAATATCTGGCTTTAAATAACTTGCAAAGGGTTGATAACCCGTAAAAATGAATCAATCAATCAATTAACAATCTCAAACACTTGATCATGATGATTTGTGACTTTGTGCTAGCACCAGGGCCGGCGCGTCTCACCCCCGAAACCCTCGACCGAGCGTTGGTGGTGTAGACTCCGTTGTGGCAATTTTTAAAAAAGTATTTTTAAACTGATGTTACATCGTCAGTCATCAACTAATAATATACATTTTGTATCTGCATGACCGGTGCGGTCTTTACTACGCAGGAATCCCCGAAGAGGTTGGAACCCTAAAGGGGCTAGTTTGAGAAGCGTTTTTTTGTTTTTTGTATTTTTTAATTTTTTTTACCCAAGTTATATTGTCAACCGTCAGTTATAATAATCGACAAGGTTGGTGCTTACTACCCCGAACCTCTTTATTGCGTGGGGGCCCCATTCCTGTTGGGGAGGTGGGGCAGAAGTATTAATTTCAATAGCACTTATTTTTTATTTACATTATTCGGACTATTGTCCGCATCTTTGTCGCCATATTTATTACAACGTTTCGGCCGTTGTACGCTCCGGCCTTCTTCAGGTGGTTGGAATTTCGAACTGAACCCTTTATTTCACTCACTGGGGTAGACTGTTCTAGTTCCACGTGCCATGTTTGATGGATGTCAGTTATCAGTTATCTCCTGTTAATTTCCATCTGAAGGTTCTCCACTGCTTTAACCGGGTATAAAGACGTTAGTTAGATCCAGTGACAGGACCCAAAGAGTGTGAGTTCAATACCCGGTTAAGGCAGTGGAGAACTTTCAGAGGGAAATTAACAGGAGATAACTGATAACTGACATCCATCAAACATGGCACGTGGAACTAGAACAGTCTACCCCAGTGAGTGAAATAAAGGGTTCAGTTCGAAATTCCAACCACCTGAAGAATATCTCTCTCTCTATATATATACATATATATATATATTAGTTAATGTATTTTATTTTTATTACTTGAAACGTTTTTTGATGGTTTGTTTCAAGTAGAAATATCCACTACAATAACTTTAAAAAGTAATATATATATATATATAGTTGGATTGATGTGAGTTTGTGACCATGGGTTTCACGCTATTTGCGATCGTCAGACAAATAGCGTCAAACCCAGGGTCACAGACTCACATCAATCCAACTAAATATGTTAGCTCTATCACTGATATTGAGCGCCCTCCAAATAACTACCGCGCATATAATATATAAATAATATATATAAAAACATTGCATTGCGTATATATATATATATATATATATATATATATATATATATATATATATATATATATATGTAAGCATATATGGATATAGATCCGACAGTATGAAAGAAAAATATATACGGAAATTATGCAAACAAAAATCGACGTTGACATATTAACATTAAAAACAGTTTTGTATATATGATTTTGTTTGTTTTTTTATATATTTTTTCATATATATATATATATATATATATATATATATATATATATATATATATGGCTTTATCTGTGTGAAATATGTGTATGTTTTTTCAAAATTGCTCAGTGGAAAATTTCATGATGCATTTTCTGAACTTAGGTCTCTGGTTGGGATCCGGAAAGAAATGAGTACTCACTAGAAATCAAAGGAATAATAATAATAATAATAATAATAATAATAATAATAATGGTAAAATTGCGAATAATTTGCTGGTGCCAAACAAGCTGGCATAGACAAACCTCATACCGACCACTGGTTGCGTGGCGCACGATTAAAAGCTGCAACCGAAGGTTTTAATCTTGCTGCACAGGATCAATGCTTGCTAACTAAAAACTATCAAGTAAGCATAAAAAAAATGTGTTTATCCCAGAGGCTGATTTTGTGACGAATATGCAGAAATAAAATTAACCATCTTGTATCAAGTTGCACGGTATTAGCACCCACCGAATATAAAACTCGACATGACAGGATGGGCCAATATTTGAACTGGAAAATAAGCAACTTTTATGGGAAGTAAGCTGCAATAAATTCATATGAAACCACCCAAATCCAGTTACAGACATGGGACCCGGTACTTTACTATACACAAAGACAGAACAGTCAAAGCTAACCGCCCAGACTACAAAAAACAGAAAGTGCTTTCTTATTGACCTGGTAATTCCTGCAGTCTGTAATGTAACTTTGAAGATCTTCGAAAAAATAATCAAAATAAAAGTATCTCGAAGTAGAAATCTAAAAGCTGTAGCACATGAAGACAATAATCCCAGTTGTGATTGGAGCTCTGGTTTTGAATGGAAATGGCCATGATAGTCGCATTGTAGGGATATTTGACAGCCCACGTCTTAGAGAAATCCCAAAGCACAGCTTACACTCTACGTAGAGCTTAATATATTTAAAATGCATATGCTATTGTAGATT